TAAACTTTATGCCACCTAGAGTCTACAGATCAATTCTTTATGTGTTTTAAAAATGCAAGTGAAAGGGCTTCAGTTATGGCTGGACATACGTAATGTGCAGGGACCTAGAAAATAAAGAGACTGACCCTTTATTGTGTCCAAAAAACTGCAGTTAGACTTCAGAAGGAGGGGGCATGATAGGAGTGTTTTCTCATCAGGCCACATCAAAAACCCATCAAAGACAGCAACTGTCCAGAAAGTTATACCTTTGATTAAGAATATAAGAATACATAACTGAACCAAGGCATCACCTGATATTACAATGGACCTTAGAGCAGCAATAACTGATCTGTTGGCTGAGCAGCAGAAACATAATCACCTTTGTGGTTGATGTTTTTGCCATTATTGTTCAATAATTTAATTTGTCCCACATTTAAGACCAAAAGTGTACCAATGGAAAAGGTTGTAGCTAGGCTCTTAGTTGACATGAGAAGCCAAGGCAGATGTGCCTTGAAGATGCATTCTTTATAATGACCAGTAGGGGGCAACTTCACCAGTTAAGAAAAAGAAGTCTGATTGTGTGGAAGAAGGTGGGAGAATGACCAGAGATTTATTGGCTCAGTACACTTTTTAATAATGACTTTATTGGCACGATTACTAACCTCAAGTCTTGTTAAAGACTAACTTAACCCCCAGACCTTTTTATTTAGTATGTATGTATGTATGTATGTATCTATGTATGTATGTATGTATGTATATGGGTTTTTTAATGTAATGTTGATGATGAATTTGGGTCCAAATCTCAACATTTGAGTAAAAAGTATTTAAGTTAGACATGTTGTGTTAGAAATATGCATAGCGCTTGCATAAATTATTTTTTATGTATTGGCTGATTCAGTGTTTGGTGATCTATGTGATGCCAGCTTTCATCAACAATCTGAGTATCTCCCTCCCCCCAGCCCTGTCCGAGTTGATGTATTAAAACAGTGACGTTCAAATGGCATTTTTTCGATGTAGATACGCTTTAGCTGAAAAGATAGGTTTTTATCTTTTTATGATATTTTAATCGTGCATTTACAGTAAGGTCTCCCAGTTGTAGCAAAATATTTTTTCAAAATATAGAAATGTATATTTTTGGGGCCTTTTTGCCTTTTCTTAGAGCGGGGGATGACATGCAGAAAAGGGCCGATGTTGGACTTGACCCACGGTCGCCAAAACAAGGACCACAGTCGACACACATGGGCCCGGTCACATAACCGCCAGGCCATCCAGCAGCCCACAATGTACTCACTTTAAGGATGCTTTATAAAGCGATCAGGCACTCTCAGCATGTAAACTAAAAGCAGATCTTCAAAACTCAATAAAAAACAGTCATTATGCAGAGTTTGATATTATCCAGGGGCAAAATCTTTCATATGTGCTCCTTAATAAGATGGCAACAGATAGATAGATAGATAGATACTTTATTGATCCCGAGGGAAATTCAAAGCATCCAGTAGCAGGTTACAAGACGTACATATTGCAAACTTATTGCTAACAAGCAAACTGCTGCTTGTTAGCATATCCAGGAGCTCGGAGTTGTGTCAAATACAAGCCCAATATTCACTATGATCACAGCTCTTTTTGTTTGTTCTTCAACAGCTCTCGTGGGAAATATCCAACTCTTTGGCTGCTAAATGCTCCAATATCTACACCAGCTACCCCACAGCGATGATAACTGTATCTACCTGCGTTTGGTTGCTAAGCAGACTGTGTGGTGCTTGATTTTACAGCTTTTCTTTTTTTGAAGCAACAAGCTGCCTGCTGTGGCAGAAATTGATGCTGTGAGTCATTCAATGTGATAAGTGAAAGCTCAACAAAGCAAAGAAGAAAATGCAGTATTCAATGATTGTCAGCGGCAGGTTTGTAACAATAAGGAGTGAATTTTACAAGTACTGATTTATATTTGTAACATTCTGCCTTCAACTTTTGAGATGATTGTGTTACCATAAACCACCGAGAATTACCATACAAAAAAACCTGGTGCCAATTTTTGTTTTTTCAGCAGAAGAACACTTCACAGTGAAAAAAGCGATGGGAGGTCAAGACTATGCAGGAGAGCGTTGGAGCAGTCAGTGATGATAAGCGCTCACACCTGATAAACATCGCACACAAACTCTCTAGGTGATATGAAGAATAAATCTGCATAAACAACCACAGCTGTCAACATTTTAATTTGACAAGAAGTGTTTTTCATTTATGATGCCAAAAACCAGTTGAAGACTCTTCAGCTAACGAGCACGTCCATACCTCAGGCACTGAATCCTCTCGAAATCTGGCTTAAATGAGTGAAAACAAAACATATTCCACTTGCATTGAATGCTGGTAGTTATGTTCTTCTAATACAGAACAGGGGCTACAACATGTTTTGTCTCCTGCTGAACTTGGAGTGAGGCGGCTGTGGCTCAGTTGGTAGAGTTGGTTGTCTCTCAACTGGAAGGTTGGGGGTTTGATCCCCAGCTCCTGCAGCAACATGTCCGATATGTCCATGGGCAAGACGCTTAACCCAAAGTTGCTCCTGCTGCTTCGTCAACAGCGTATGAATGTGTGTGTGTGAATGGATTAGTTACTTCTGATGGTCACTTTTCATGGGTAGGTGTGATCTGTGAGTAGTCAGAAGACTAGAAAAGCAGCTATACAAGCTCAAGTAAAACTTACTGGAAAAGAGAATGGGAGGATAAGCAAATTCAAATGCAAAACAATTCGAGCTTGAACCACTTTTTACTTTAACCTTAAAAAATCCCAACCTGAATACTCACTAGACATGACATGACATGACATGGCAGAAGGCAGAGGAAGGCATTTATAGTCTTTGATGAAGCACTGAGACATTGAAGCTGTTTTTCAGCTGGAAGTGATTTTCAAGGTGAAAAAAAAAACAACATAAAAGAAAGAAACAGCCTTTGTTCTTTGTGCAAGACAGAATTTAATTTCAACAATACAACAAAAGGATCGATATTTTTCATGGTCAGGTAATGAAAATTGAAACTGTAGAGTTTTCCTCCTGGACTGTTCACCATTGCGCTCCAATAACTCGATATAAAAGAAGTCTGAGCCTCCGTGATCTCGAAGGGGAAGTTCAAACAGACATGCTGGACATGCTGAACGAGCAGGTGTATTTCAAAGGGAAGTCGCCAACAGAGGGCACAGTACGTTAGGGTTGTAATACTGACTGTACTCACCTCTACGGTCAGGGCAAAGTTATGTGTGTCTGCTGTGACTTATTTAGGATAAAGTTGTTGGCAAGAAAGTGAATTACACTAAGAAACTGTTTGAGTAACAAACATAAACATTTGAAAATTCTTGCTCCAAAAAATAAACTAATTGCTGAATACAGCAGCAGATGGTGCATTTATTCCCCTACAGTTTTCTGTAGCTCTATTGAGCCTTTTACAGATAATTGGGTTGTTTTTCAGGCGGACAAATGTATTATTTTGGTTTCAGCCTTTGAAAGGCAGCAGCTGTTTCCTGCTCGGACAAATCTCAATACACTCAGACAGCATCAAACAGCATGCACTAGTCTCTGAACATAGGTATTTGCTACAGAAGTTATGGAGGTTATGAAAAGTGAGAAAAGGAGTTGCATTCTTTGAAAAACACAAGTGTCACTCCACATGACTTTTATTATGATGGTTGTATTACTGGGTGTCATGGTGCAGCTGTTGTCCAAACAACTTAAAGTTGATATTATGGTCAATACTGTCTTTACAGCCTACAGTAATATCGACTAATAACCTTTTCTTTTTTTTTTTTTTTAAATCAAAAGCAGTTCAGCCTGAGTTATAGGATTGCTTTTCTGCCGCTCTGTTTTACCTTGTTTGCTCTCACATGAATGGCTTCCTCACAGAACACCAAATGATTGATCATTCAGAACAACACAGAGCACAAGCAGACAAACCAGAAAAGCAGAATCACATATTCTGCATCCAGACTTCTGTTTTTAGTGATTACCTTTATTAAGATATTAGCGTGGTTGTGCTAACAGTTGACACATAAACTTCCTGCTTAAATGACCCCAAAGAATCAGCGTTCTTAGATCTGCACAGAGCGCAGACTTCAACACCTTCAAGCAACTACAAGTTATAAACCCTGATCCAGGTCTTATCGCACAACACCAGTGACCAACCTCAATTATGCCTCTGAGGTCGAGTTCAATCAAAAAAAGGCCCTGCAGCCAAGTTTAAAAGTCTGTTTCCATATGAGATGTGGTTTTCATAGCTGCAGATGAATGCCCTAGTTTTTTAAATTAGATATTAATGACATCATGTGGCTCCAATGTTTTGTTATCCAAAACATTAGCCAATGCAGTGTATGCAGTTTGTCCTGCCATTGATGCTAATGTTGTTGACACATTTTTGGTTCTTTTTAAAACACACAGATCTACTGACTATGAGAAATTTAATTTTCACATGTATTGCATCTGGAATGTAACTGGTACAAATTAAATGTTATTATTAACATTATAGCATTAACAGATATTTTCAATTCGAGCCAATGGGACCCGAGTGACATTTATATACAGTGACTGCCTAAAGTGTCTGCACGCGACCGCTATGATCTCTGTGCACGTAATTAAATGGCTGCATTATGTTTTCTGTTCGTCAGTATGTTCTCCTCTCTTTTGTGGATGTTGTCATTCCATTGGATTACACATAGCATTGATATAAAGGCAAATATTCTCATTATAGCGGACTCTGTTGCTTCGGCTGCTACTTCTACGTTGTTTATTTACGTCATGTCTTACCTCACGTCTTACCAAAACCACATAGTCCCCCCCCCCCCCCCTGACAGGGGAAAGTCCCCCGCTGTGAGGAGCATATGTGAACGGCTAAGTCGGGAGAATCTCCGGAGCAGTCCTCCCGCAATTATCTAGATATTATCCGGAGTGCATATGTGAAAACGGCTATTAAGGAGCCAGTCCTGGGGCAATTGAGTTTTTTGCCATTTCATGATGAAGGGCTAATATTTTTTGAAAACTGGAGACATAAAAAACAAGTGTACCAACAATCAAGCCTCTTTTTTTAACTTTTAACACTTGCGTCCTTTTCAACAAGTGATAAATGTCCTTCTACTTGACCTGTGTTAGATTTACAGGCAGGACAATGTGTGACAATGAAGACATCAAGTTTAAAGTTATTGTAAATAAAAATAAAGAAGTCATTAAAGGTGATGCAGTGTAGACAGAGCAGGGTCATCCATCTCCCATTATGTATCTTTCACATGAGCTCAAGCAGCAGTTCCTCTAAGCTTTATCATACAAACATATTTGGCCTTTCACCACAAAACTGTTTCCCCTGCCGGCCTTGAAAATGGCATGAAATGTCACTGCACGGGCATAAATCAAAGGCGCTGCTCTTTGCTTTGAGGTGATGATTTACAGAAAAAAAAAACAGTCAGGACTGTGAGTTTGAAAATAAACGAGGTGTCTGCACAGATTGTCACACCACAGCTCTGCCATAAAGATGGGAGACACAGGGCTATACTTATATTTTAAGTTATTTATTTACAAGGGAAATGATCAAAAACCTGTAGATTTGAAATATCTGTAAAGTTAGTTGTGAACAGTGTGGGTGTGGTGAAATGTGCTGTATAGGTGTTGTGTGTAAAACCAAACACAATGGCTGTCTCCAAAACCACATACTTGGATTCATACTCAATGTGGCGTCACTTTGAGTTTGAAGTACGATCTGAAATCATAGTATGCAATTTTGTGTATACAAGAAATACCCGGCTGTATACTAGACCGGCCAGAATTTTTAAGTATGAAACGGAGCATATTGGCCCCACAATGCACTGTGGCTCTCTGCCTGTCCTATCGCGGAGCTCGACAGCCAGCCAACTAGCGATTGAAAATAAAAGTTCCAAACTGAAATGCCTTTAACATGTTGGAATTAGTATTAAAATGATTACGTTTTGTATTAGAAATGAACGTTTGCATTTTGTTCTTCAATAATATCTACGGACCGACGGTCACGCTAGCTTGAAGCTAGCTCATCGAACGGAGCTCGAAACAGAAGTACGTTGCTTTACCTGTATTTTAGTTTGTTGCTTACGGCATACTAACAGTCTGGTTAGTATGCAGTATTTATATTTTGAGCCAAAGAAACCAAACGCAAAGGTGTGTTGTCAGATGAGGTCTCTCTAAACATCTCACAGAGACTGACTGCTGCTCTGATTTTTAGCACTAGGCACAGCTTAAAATATGTGTCTCATTCTCCTGATTACCTGCCTCAGCGTCGGCAGCCCTTAGAGACAGGAATCAAACATCAGTCAACTGTGCAATGCACAGGGCCATCACAAGATCTACATGGCATAAAGCATGCTTTGTTCCATCCATAAAATATTGCTTTTGATTACGTCATATGAGAATACAAAGATGCTTTATGCGGAGCAGTAAAACAGTCGGCTCGCATAATACCTCGGCCTTGACATCAAAGGCTTAAACTGCTATGGTGTCATTTCTTTTTTAAAGGCCAATATGTTCAAGTTAACTTTTGACTATGCAGCTGTTTTTTTTGTGTTCTCAGTTACTAGGGCAACACGAGACACAAAGGTTGATCATGCTTTAGTAATATCGCTTCGAAAGCTTTTTATGAGACGACATAATTACCACATACACTATAAAATCCATACAATACACTTAACCTAGATGTTTAATGGCAGTAGGAATGATTCCAACTGCTTACTCACACAGAAAACATTGAAACCACAAGTTTGTTAGAATAGCATCCAATGACAAAAAGTATCTTATCTTAACTTTCCTCTATTTCCAGCTTATCGAGGAAAAAATGCAACTGACTGTCTTTAAACAAAAAAAACAAAACAACATAAAGACTGCTGCTTATATTATTTGTGAAATGAATGCATGAATGAAGGAAGGAATTTACACCAAAGGATACTGACAATTTCTTCAGTTGTGAGTTGTGTGTATCACTGGGAAAAAAAAAGCTATTGCCTGTCATTAGTCAGCATGAAGGAAGTATGTCATTATATAATCACATTACAATGAAATGAAATGAGATGTTTCATTTTAAAACGAATGAAACCTTTGGTATCACATAACTTTAAATGTATTCTTGTCTGTTTAGGTCTGAAGTTTATGAAGCCTCGGGTAAACAGACATTTGAAAATCCATATCCAGAGTTTACAAAACCATGCGCACGGATTTGCAATCTGTGGATTCTTAAACTGTGTTGCATCGATTTGTAAACTGATTCCAGTTTTGCATGGATGGGCACAGTTTAATAAACTGTAGACATGGATTCGTAAACTGTTGTACATATTTGCAATCAGCTTTTTCATTATTTTATATTGTTTCATGGGCTCTGTTCAAGCGTGCTTCCACGTCCGTGTTGTACATGCAGTAAAGAAGATGATGTTGGGCATATGTTAATATCTGTTTACTTGTTGGACTTGGAGACCAAGGTTTATTGACAGGTGAAACCTGAACCACACTGTTTTTCTCCTTCTTCCTCCCTTCTAGTTTCCAAAAAATAATCAATAGAGAGACGTGAGGAAAACGTAAACATCATTTTAATACAAGGCATGTCGGGCCGCCAAGAGTTTCCACTGCGGATATTGACTGCGGGTCTCTACTGATTGATAATATTTGCTCCGTGCCTATATTGATCAGGTTGAAATATTCTTGAATGCTAGAGGCAAACTAGGAAATGCCCTTACACTGTGTCTTGGCTGTGTTATCAACCAGTTTATTCACTGCTGTGGCCACTCTCCTTGATCTAACACAGATTAGTTTTCACATGTACTGTACACTTGTACTGGTAAAAAAAAAATCTCATAAACCAATCTGCTTGGAAGGTAAATTGAGGTTAAAAATGTGATGATTGCTTCTGTAGACACACACCTCAAAATGTTGTTTTAAACAAGCTGTTTTTCTGAAAGTTAAATTATTTACCGTCTTGACTTGAACATACTACAAACAACAGTTATGGCAAAAATCTATTATCCTGCTGTTATAGCTACAATTTTTTTTTCTCATGATTTACAACTTGTTTGGGTCTTTCAGACGAATCAGCTGTGAAGCCAACAGATTGACTTTTGGACTGGCTGATAATTAGGGGCAATGAATCTGTCAAAATAAAAATCCTTTAAGTGAAACGATTCCTGATCAGTGGTCATACTGCAAAGCATGAACAGCTGAAAACACATGAGAGTGTTAAATTATGTTAGAAATTACTGTGTGGTTATGAAGCAGATGGGGGGGGGGGCAATGAAAGATCTCACTCAGGTCCTACAGGATGCTAAGCCCAGCCATGGTTATATTTTTGCACATTATGTAACAGTTTTACTGGACCCAAACCGAAATGCAGACAGATGGAAATGGGTAAAATGCATTAAAAGCTCTTGAATAAACAGGGGACAAATGCAGTCTCTGTGTTGATGTGGCTCTGCTGAGGGATTCCTATAAGGGTGGAGGAAATGGATGAATCCTCAAAGGTTGAGGTGAGGAGTTTCTCGGGAGAATGATCTGAACTAAGACTTGAAGCTTGAGTAATTGTTGACGTGAAGCTGGCTTCGTTTAAAAGCGCTGGGGTTTTGTAGAGGGAGACACTGGAAAAGTACAAAAAAACATGTGTAGTTAGAACTCTGACGCGAAAAACATCCCTAAAGGAATCTTTATGTGACATGAAAGGGAGCGGATATAACCACTCGAGCAGTAAGGACAATCGGGCAGCTTGCTGGGAGACGAGGAGGAGAATATGAGCTTCTGTTGATAAAGCCAAATGATCCACAGCTGTGAAGAAATTCAGAACAGAGCCACAACACAGAATAAACTAAAAGTCAAAATAAACACACCAGAAATACCAGAGAAACATAACACTAAAAAAGATTGGACAAAAAGACCAAAATCATAAACAAACAGTACATAACATGATAGGTTAGCGCATGGCTGCTTAAGTAGGTCATCCTGGCATAAATTAGAAAATTAACAAACAAAAAAAACAGTAGTATACACACCATAATGCACGTGCAGTTTCACTTGAGCTGGATTCTTCTAATTCTTCAAAAAAGTAAATGAAAAAATCCTGTGGATCTGAGGATGTACCCAAGAAGCGACTATAGTTACATCTCTTTGGAGAAATGCATAATCTACAAAGTGTGTGCAACCAAATCAACCCGTGTAAAGCATTTTTTTAAGTATGTTTTAGTTAATGTTTCAAGAGAAGTGTTTTTTAGGGTTGCAACATTGTTCCTCACAAACATACTCTTTTTCCCACATTTGGCCTGTTTGGCACCAGGTCACTCTACCTGCAGTTCATTTATTAACAGACACAACCAGGAAGACTGTGCTAAGGCTGAGGTGAGATATTAGTTTATGTATCTGTATTAGCACTAATAAACAGATATCAATATATGCGCACATGTACCTGGCTTGTCAGCCTGTTCAGGTTGACACACATTATTTGATTTATTGGTGGCACCTGGCAAATGGGGACTGGATTATTATTGGCTTCCCTGACCTTTTTTTCTGGCATAGTGTCAAACTCTATAGAAACTACAGAAGAAGATCAGTCAAACAATGAATTCAAACCATCTTTTATGACAATGTGAAGACGGTATACAGACCTATATTGACTTTAATTATCTTGAATATTACACGTCTTTAATATAAAATTACTCAAATGTGGTCACAATTTCTTTGAAAATATTTTTTTTCAATTTGCACCACCTTCCAACCAACCAACCAACCAACAGATCATCAAATATTCCATCCATCTAACCAACAGCTCATCAATTAATGCATCAATCCATTAGCCAGCCAACAGCTCATCAATTAATCCAACCATCCATCCATGCATGCATACATCAAACCAACAGCTCATCCATTAATCAATAAAATTATCATCCATCCAGCAACTCATCCATTTATCTGTCCCTCTGTCCATACATTAATCCATTTATAAATCCATCTATTAATTCATCCATCCGTCCATCCATACATGAAAAAGGATATCCATCAATACATGCATACATCCCTTCACTTGTCCTCTGTGTATGTTATTCCATTTACTTCTACAATTCTACAATTCACTTAGCAGACGCTTTTATCCAAAGCGACGTACATCAGAGAGTAAGATGTACATCAGAGAGTTTACTTAACTTTACTTAACATTTTGAATGTAAGACAACATTAAACGATGGGAACTGTTGCAGCAGATACAGCAGTCATCTGTATGTCGCCCAGCCTGCTGGTAAATAAACAGAGATGATCTATTGTTGATGATTTATTCAGCAGAGCATAAATCTAACACCCTCAATAAATCTACACATTTAGACTGGAGGAACTGACCAAGCCTTTGGGCCAATTTATGGCCTCGGGATAAAGCTGCCATTGTTGATCCCACATCTAAAAGCGTCAACTACAGTACTCAAATCGTGAGGCTTATAGTGATTTAATTAAATGTAATTTGTGAAATGCCTTGGCCAGAATTTAAAGTTTTGACAATAGGGTATGGAGGTTGAGAGGGACATCCGGTAAACTTTGGTCATTTTTCGAGCAGAATTTATTCAGTTGTAACAACAGTGTTTTTGTAAAATGCGATGCTTCCTTTTTTTAATAAATGCATTTTTTATATTCCCTGAATTCATACATTTTCGCCTGATTTATATTGTGCACTTTTGAGTTGGTTATGAAATTTAGTTTTCACAATGGGCCCAGCATGTCATATTCTAACTTTCACTGTATCTGAAGATGTCTCTTGTAATCACACTATTAAGTACCACCTTCACATTCATTGGAAAGAAGGATTGGAGATTTCCCCAACCATTACCATTGTTGGTAGACTCAATTACCTACAGGTGATTGATAAATTAATGGTGTCTTTTTCTTTCAGGCTAGTCACGAAACCATCTTATACTTCTTCACTTGACATTTCTATCATAAACCCAATTGATTAAATGTTCTGCTTTGGTGTCTTAAGTGGTTTGACATTTCACTCTGTGATTATCTTTTCAGAGCAGTTTATTACGTCTTTATTGAGCATGCTATGACATGACATGTTTGAGGATTTGTTGGGTTTACAGCTTTAGAGGAGATGGTTCAGTGTCTCTAAACCAAAGCCTCAGATAAGAAAAGGTTACAACATACGCCAAAACTGTGACGCTCGGATAACTTGGTGTAACTCACTTTTATAGGTCTGCCACTCAAGGAATTTACACATCCAACACTCGGATTTGAGAAGCATAAAATGACACAGAGATGAATTTTTATACCTCCTAAATGTACATTTTCCAAGAATTAAAATAAATAGTTCCACATTATGTAATACATGTGGTTTGTTTTCTTGTTCCCTTGATTAGGTGAGAAGATAAACATCACTCTTACTGTGTGTCTTTGCCATAAATAGTAAACTTCAGGTAACAGCTGGTGAGCAAACAGGAGAAAAAAGCAACTCTGACTTTCCCCAACTAAAGAGAACAATATTAGAATATCGGTATTAATTATTAAAAAGAAACTGCTTAACAGAAGAACAAAAAAAAGTTATTTTCTCAAGTTTCAGGCTGCATGTTTTGTTCTCGGCTGTGCTAACCAGCTGTGGCTTTGTAAATTTTCCAGAAATTGGATTAGTGTTGGTATGCTTATCTCCGCAAGAATGTAGATATTCCCCTTTTATAAAATGTATATCTTCAACATTACATTTCATAAATCATTTAGAGGAATGCTTTTTTTTAAAATCTATGGATAGCAGCAGAGTATTCACCAAATATCTCAAAATACATTTTGAACCACATATTCCAATTTGGCAAACATTTCTTTTGCCTATTTTGATCACGTCCAGCACAATATGAGAAAAATCTGCAATGTCAACACATTGGACTCAAACCCGTGCTGCCCGCCTGAGAACTATGGCCTCTTCACATTGGGCCCGACCAAACCGCCATGCAATACACCCCGTGTATGATGTTTTGCACAGACAACAGACAAGCCTTCACCTGGTGAAGAAACTGAAACTGAAGACCAAGTTTGCAGTCTCACAATTTGTATCTAATCAGCTACTTAATCACTGGGAGCCGGTTATTATTGTTAAGACAGCTTTGGCCTTTGAACAGGAGAGAACGACCACAGTCTGAATAATGGCCATAAACTTATTTGAGAGTAGAGTTTACTTCTATTTTAAAAGGAGAATGAATTAATAATGTGTCTGCTTCAGTCACACACACTTTGATAAATATCTGTGTAAACTTTATCCTACTGGAAATATCGCTTTCACTTCCGGCTTCATCATGAAGGTTTATGACGTGTTTTTATTCAGTGTGGTTTTGACTTCCACGTCAAAGTCATAAATATTAAAGCAATACAAGAATGACAAAATCTGGGGGAGATGAGTTGAATTTAAAGGAGGGGAGGGCAGGGGGAGGGGTTCTCACACACACACACATACACAAACACAAACACACAGCCCTACAGCACCCTCAGTATACAATGTTACAACATGTCATTAGTTCCTGTACTGCTCGCTTCTGTTTTGTCCTGTTTTTGTCATTGTAAGTGTTTACACAGATATCTCCCTCATAGTTTTGCTCTGGTCGTGTCTCTCACTTGTCCTGTGCTGTTCCGCATCACATAATAAAAATAAAAATCTGTACATTTATTCAAGTATAATGCTGTCTTGTCCAAACTTCAGACAGGGACATTATCATAAGTTTTTAAGGAAAAATTCAGTCCATTGCTTATCCAAAGTCTAATACCCACACTCTTTAAGCTTTATTTTGCTTCCGAAGTAAATATCTGTCTGTTAGGATCCCATAAATGCTCCATACCTTTCAACAACTTGGTGCTTACTTTGCTAATAGTTGCAAATTTGTGTCTGGTTTGGTTTTCTGCTACATGGTCAAAACAAGGAATGTACTTGAAAAGGTCAAAGGTTCATGTTTGGACAAACAGAGCTTGATGAAGAATCCTTGATGAGCACTACGCTTGCTAACCAGCTTGAATGTAAGATGTCCGTGTTGAGAGGGGTCAGTTAAATACTTACAAGGTGTTCTGTTCACACTCAGGCTGATGATTTATCTCCCTTCAGTCTAACTAATCATCATCAGTCTTACTGTCAGACTAGTCTGAATAATTGCCTGTTTGCATGGTCTGCAAACTATCTTTCACTTCATTGCTCAACAGAGAGAATTGTTGACTTCAAATCAATCACCAATAAGTACACAGCTACTGAGCAGCGCAAACTGTTTTATTCAAGGTAAGCGGAGGTTACTGAGTGTAGCCAAAAGCTAGGCTGAGTCTGTCACCTTCAATGATACATTTCTTCACCTTTAAATAATTCAACAAATTCAATTATCTAGGGGCATCGCCTCACCATATCCTTTTATTCCTCTCTGCTGTACGTCTGTACCAACGCCCTCACATGTCCGCCAGATAGCCCCTCTGCTTTCGTGGCAGCCTGTTAGTATGATAATAAAAAGAAAAAACACACGTTACCTGCCTGGAATGAAGGTTATTGATTAACAATGCATTATCAGCATTTTTTATCACTCCCACCTGTCTGCATGGACTGCATGATGCATACAGTGCAACTAGGGATGACTAATACAGAAAATAAAGGGTAGCACAGGCCTTATTTCAGTGTTTCCTTATTTATCAATCCATTCTTTCTCCCTGCTTATCCTGTGTGTAGTCACTGGGCGTCTGGAGCCTATCCCATCATGCACTGAACCCAAGGTGTGGTTGACCCTGGTGTTATAGGCTCAACTATTCACACACCTAATATGGAAGTCTTTGAAATCTGAGCGGAAACCAGAGCAAGAAAAAGAAACAAAGGATGGCTGTAATTAAACCACTTGGAGCAAAGAAGGGAAACTAGATCAGCGTGTAATTGTTATTATAGACTGATCTAATTCTATTTTTTTTTCTCTATTTCTATTGATCTGACTGATACAGCAGTCTCAATCTCTGCTGTCTGCCTCCATGTTATGTCTCAATTGTGATTTTAATGTGGCCTCTGTGGTTATTCTTTTCCCTCGTCTCCACTGTATTGTCATGTTGTATGTCTCTCTTCCCTTTGCTTAGGCCGAATGTATTTATAAATGTAATGTAATTTATTGTATTTTAATTTTTAACTAATGCATTTTAGGTTGCCCACTGACAACTGGCCGCAGACTGCATCTGGAAATTAGCCGCAAAGGCTAAAGATGCTCCTTTTACTGTACGGTTAAGTAAAGGGGACTGTCCATGACACAATAAACAAATAAACTAAAATTAACTCATTTACACATTGATGATTGCTAATAAGTTTTTGGTAAATCACTCCATCAAGTAGGTCCAGGCAACTCTTTATAAAGGATATTTATAAGCATACTTAAGAAAAGCTAGCTCATTGTTCAGATCACACAATATTATCACTTTCATGTAGTCCTTTTCTAAGCTTAATCAAGCTACTCTTTGTCTTTTGAGCTGTCATGATTTACAGCTTTTTGGTTTGAATCCCCATCGGACAGGGCCTTTCTACAGGGTTTTCTAGTTTTTATGTTCTCCCCGTGCATGTGTGGGTTGTCTCCGGGTACTCCAGCTTCTTCCCACAGTCCAAACACATGCTTGTTAGGTTAATTGCTGACTCTATTGGTGGCCGTAGGTGTGAATGTGAGTATGTCAGCCCTGTGATTGACTGGCAGACAGTCCAGTGTGTACCCCGCCTCTCACCCACTGAAAGCTGGGATCAGCTCCAGCCCACCAGCGACCCACAACGGTAAAAGCAATATAGATAGAAATTAGAAACAGGAAAAGAATGAGAGGGAGATGTACAATACGAACTATCTCCTGTAACCTGATATTTTAAACTATAAACATAGTGTACCAACACATTAGGCTACGTGATTTATGATTCCGTTTTTGTTTTTTAAGAAAGTTGGCCCAAAATGCCAAAAGATTTTTGTCTCTTGATGCTGCTTCTGGAATAATTCGGCAGCCAGACCAATAATAAATATAAGGTTCCTCTTGATAATTAAAAACAGATAAATTGCACCATCCTTATCCTTTATTGGCTGGAATCACCTCATAAATCCCATCGACAGACGTTACTAATTAAATAATGGGCAGAGAGAATGGAGCTATACAGACTAAAGTTTGATGACAGCAGAGCTGATGAGATGCAATGTGCCACTCTGGGTCAGCGGGATGGATAGTTCCTTCATTTCCTGCGTAAAGAATTGAGTTTAATAAGCTCATTAAAAACCTCATTGATGTGTCGCTGGCCTGCCACCTTAGCACCGCCGTGTGTGTGTGCGTTCGGTGCCACTTTCAAGCAAAATTAATTGATTTCAGGTGTGGTGATTGCTTTGCCATTACTGGAAGGTCACAGGTTTGATTCCTGCTGCAGCCATTATCTCTATCTGTGTTTTTGACCTCATTACTGAATTTGCTAGAAGGACCATTTTAAGGCCTCAAGGGCAATGCATCAGTAAGTATTCATGCTATTTGCAGCACCTACATGATCCCAAAACTCTTGTGAGTGTTGTGATTCAACCCACGTCTGCCTTCTGTAAGCACATACAAATCCTGTGCTACACACAAGAGTGTCTAATGCCAAGTTTTCTCGCATTTCATATTTGTTACACATGATTAATTCAGATCTGTGCAGGCTGAGGGGCTGAGTAAATAAACTGAACTTCATGTTTTCTGCAGCAGAAGCAGAAGTATACTCAATTTGTACTGCTATTCAGTAAATACCATCTGATTATTCCACAACAGGAGCTAATGAGAACTCTGCAGGAAACTCACATGGGATAAAAAAATAAAAACATAATAATAATTGCATACAGATTTAATGGTTTGTTTCAGCCTCATTACATGCAGTTCGGTGTGTGGGAAGGGTTGAAGAAATCCGACATAAAGCAGTTCTTGACATGAAATTTAGCATATATCCTACTGCAGTTTGCAAAAAAACTGTATAGAAATGCTGCATTAATAGATGAAAAAGTAGGTCTTTGTTCGAATACGACACAATCAGGGTATATCACACAAAAACATGTGAAACCAGGTTCAATTATTTGCATAGGTGTGAGTAACTGGACTTTCCAACAAAAGGGTTGCCAGAGCTTCTTTGTCATCGGTCGGGCTGATAGTAACTGTTTAACTCACCAGAGGTGTGATCAATACTGACAGACAGCGAAGACAAGTGAGCCAGGGATCCATAAACATAATCAGACAGGTGATGAGGTCAGAATAGGATTTATGAATTCCCATTTTACACGCCTGTAAAACAGACCATCACTACTCATTAACCCGTGAGAAATACTTTGCTCTCATTTGTAGCACCTTTGGTCACATGGGCGCGGGGCTGCAGGTCAGAATTGTTTAAAAGGAGGCGTGTGGACGGAGGGAAAGCACACACTGAGCTGAGCACCTGCTGAGCACATCAACAGCAAGAGACAAAGACGCTGCAAGACAACAACAAAAAAACTGTCACCTGTTACCATGAAGGCCACACTCGCAACCATCGCTGTGATCGTCCTGGCTCTCAGCTGGACCGCTGAAGCCGTGCAAGTTGAAGTAAGTTGCTTCAGTTAACATTTCTGTACTGCTGGAACAATTTTCTGCTCATTAGAGTAGTAGTCAGGGTATTTTTACAACACTGCAGGTAAATGCAGGAACATGACAACCCTACCGATACATTCTTTCCTGTTATGGATTTGAGGTCGTGCAAACAAATGCAAACCTCTGCCTCGTATTTTTGTAATTTACATTATTCAAGCTGCTTCTACGTTAGCAAGCAAAGCCTTCGTTTGTGTTGCATTTCTTAGCCACCAACATTTGCCTTTTCTTCCAGGAGAATGGATTGTCTTTCTCCCTCGAAGCCGTGAAGAGACTTCAGGAGCTGTCAGGGGGCAGTGCTGCAACTGAGGTGCAAAACCCTCGTCTCAGAGCGAGCACCGTGTCCCTGTGTGCCGACCCCATGCTCCCTCAAGAGTTCCTGCCCCTCTGCAGGCAGAGAGGGGCGTCTGCATCCCTCACCAGACTAGGTGAGAACATTACATATTCAACGTTTTAAGGTATCTACAGTGAACCTGTCAGGTCATGAATATTTTAATGTGTGATTAATCAGTGTAGCTAACGCCTGTTCTTCCATTTCCTGTATTTCCATCAGCTGCAGTTCCCATGGACGTCTGTGAGATCTGCGCCTTTGCCGCTTGCACTGGCTGCTAATCAAACAAACCCAGCAAGCCAGAAACATCTCGCCCAGCTTAAGACTTGTGATTTTTCTTCCTTCCCCTCAAAACTGTTTCAGGGAACTTAAAAAACATCTGCCAGCAACGATGAGAGTATGACTCTTGTTCCCTGAATACAGAGGTTATAACTCAGGCCCGTAAGACAAAAACTAAACCCAAAATGAAAAGAAAATCAGACAAACTGAAAACTGTTACTTTATAGAATATTAACCACTTTGACGGTTCTTTATCATACTTTTTTTTGGAATTTACATTCTTTGTTACATTTTTGTCTTACCAAGCTTTGTATATGTATTTAAAAGAAAAGCTTCTTTTTCATTTTTCCTTTTTTATTTACATTGTTTGAATAAAAAGCTTTCATTGACAGATCATGTGTAAATTGTGCTCTTTCCTTAAATTAAAACACTTTATTATTTTTAACGACTAGGCTATATCCAAGTAGATTTCCAGTTTGTAGCAACTGATTTGTCCTAATAATCCTCAAGTGTCAATATGATTATTTAACTGCTCCTGATTGAGTTGGAGCCTCCCTGATCTCAAATCTTAACTATCAATAGCCAATGAGAGTGATCAGACAGGGAAGCATCATCAACCAGATGTTGCATAATACAACTCAGCCTGGATTTCACCCATATATTGTTTTGCTTCAGAATGCATGCCAGGAAGATAGCCAGCTGATGACATGTATTGTCCTCCATATTTGTTTTTCTTCTGAAGTCTGGGTTGATTAGTCGAGCTGATAACTGTTTAATTCAGCAGAGGTGGGATCAATACTGACAGACAGCGAAGCCGTTCTGAAGTCTCAGTTTCTGTGAGATATTGTGTCTGTGAAATCGTACTAGAAACAGCAGGTGTTTTTTCTCGCTGGTTTGGTTTCGCCCAACAGGGGGCAGAAAACATTACCAGGCTGCAAGATAAGCCACCTCAATATTATTCTCTAACATAACTTTAATACACTTTTTTATCAAACTGTTTACAAATCCAGCAGACACAGAAACACATGTCTGGTTGATATTTTCTGGTCTTTTTTGCACTTTTTTGGTCCCCTCATATAAACCCACCAAGGTCATTAAATGCTAGATGCTCAACTTTTTTATGAGCTACAGGCTAACTTTGTCTTAAACTGAACTCATTTAAAATGCTACCAAAAGCTGCACAAGAGTGCTTTCCCTCTTTCCTACAGTCAAAAGCCGTAAAAGAGCAGAAAAGAAAGCAGAAAAAACACACATTTAATTACACTATCATCCAGATCTTGACCAATAACTCAGCCAGCCGATAATATCAGTGGATATTAGCATAACCAGTGACTATCTGCTCAGAATAGGCTGTTTCTGTGTCTAACCACGCCCCTCTCTGGAAGAGGATGTGACTCTTTGTGTGGACTTTCATGCCCAATTTTTTACTGAGAAAAGGCAGATTTTTTTTATCTTTATCTATTTGAGGTCAAAACATTGGTAAATATTTACATATGCTGTTTGATCTGATCTGCTATTAAAGGTTGAAGAACTTAAACTGGTTGGTTTCTATGATAAAATGAATAACCTGTAGAGATATCTTTTTTATTATTATTATTATTTGACAGGAAGTTGAAATATTCCATAAACGCAAAAAGAATCACTAAAAATGTATAAACTAAAGTGATTTAAGTTGACTAAAATATAGATATATATTCAATTAAATTGATGATTTAATTTAACTCAATATTTTAAGTGGATTCAACTTTTGATAAAGTATTTTTCATTTTTGATTTCAAGTCAAAAGAAATTGAAAGACCATTTTTCCTTAACAAGATAACTTCACGGGAAGTGAATTTTGATCAAAAGTTTTGTGAACTTAAAGATTTTAGTACAACTGATTTGATGTCAAGTTTATTTGACTATAAAAATTGTATTTCTTTGGAATAATCACAAATTTATCTCATCTTTTTAAGTTCAGTTAACTTAAAATGTTAAGGCAGGCCCTACACTAACTTTTTTAGTTATAACAACTAGGTTTTTCTTTCAGGGTAGCGACATGCTTCTCACACACATAGGCCCAAATCACACGCATGCACAAACAGGATCTGTGGACGTGCATTAGTGGAGAGATGTCAGAGTGGGGCTGCTACAAGCTGCTAAGCAGAGGCCGCACCAGAGCAGTTGGGCGTTCGGTGCCTTGCTCAAGGGCACCTCGGCAGTGCTCGGGAAGTCCCCTGGCACCTCTCCAGCTACCAGACCAACTTCCACATAATGGTCCGCACCAGGACATGAACCGGCGACCCTCCCAGCCCAACTCCCAACGGACTGAGCTACTGCCGCCCCATATACTGTAATGTCCTTGTTGTGAGCCATATGCATTGCTATCCCCAGCACTTTGTTTGATAATAGCATCAATTCATCATTTAATTTAATGGTATTGAAGGCTTCACGCAGAATATAAAAACTTAATTGCGGATGGTTTAATTTGTTATCGTGTAAATGTATTCTTTTGAACCAACGATACTTTTCCTCCTCACCCAGATTAAAAAGGGTGTGAATGCACTTTTTAAGTAACGTTAACATTATCACTTCTGTTGAACACCTGCAACATATTAAAGAAAAGTTTGTGTTTTTTTAATCCATGCGTTTAATCTGAGTCAGCTAAAGTACATCATTAAACAGATATACATTCAGTCCATGATACCAGCGGACTCGGTTCATTTCCCCTCTGACACCTGCTATACACTCACAACCTTGACGCCCAAAGGCAAAGGATTAACATAATGATGCAAGTGTATAACTGAGGGGTTTCATATGTGATGCATGCTGTACAAGATGTTTTATGTTTGTTGATCCCCATAGAGGTTAAATCATGATGTGCTCAGAGCCAGGACTATGTAATTGCTCACAGTGTGCGAAAAAGCATACATATCAGATGTATAAAACATTGCTAATTCTGGTACATTTTAGTTTTTGTTGCTTAACAATTCACCATTTATTTTGTGTTGTCTTTGCAAAGAATGTGTAGATTATAAACAGTTACAACATATTTCTATTTGAACAGTTATAGGCACACATGTACTGTATATGTAGGCTATAAAACAGTAAGTATTACACTCAAATTAGACAAATGAGCAGAATTCCACCAGGTTTACAATCAGAGATTAAATAGATTTCCACAAGTAACATATTTATTTATATTTTTTTTTGGGGGGAAAAAAGGAGAAAACTTCCTGGAAAAAATGTTACCTGTCAAAATCAGAGTCAGCATTGGCTTTGTTGCCAAGAGGGGGCAGCTGTTGGGAGAGTCAGTCATCTCTCAACCGGAAAGTCGGGGATTCGATCCCCAGCACTTGCAGCCACAAGTCTGATGTGCAAGACTGTATGCTATGTTGTGAATGTGTGTGAATGAATGGGATATGTTACTTCTGAGTACATAGCAGCCTCTTGCATCAATGTGTGTAAATGGAAAATGGTAATGGACCTGAGCTTGTAAAGTGCTTTTCTAATCTGCTGACTACTCAAAGTGCTTTTATACACCCATTCATACACTGATGGTGGAGGCCATTGTCAGAAGTCTGATCTATTGATACACCACAGAAGGACACAGTGGACATGTAGTTGCATGAGCAGGGGATGGAACCCCCAACCTTCTGATTGAGAGACAACCGACTCTACCAACTGAGCCACAGCTGCCCCATGTGTGTGAATGTGAAAGTCTAGAAAAGCGCTTTCCAAGCTCAAGGCCATTTATTTACCATTATCATACAAAGAATAAATCTTGGTGTTTAGGAACTAAAATATTGAACACAGAGGTAGAATAAAAACAATCAAACAAACCAGCTTTTATTGTAGAGATAGTACAGTGGATAGAGTGGGAAACCAGGGAAAGAGAGTGGGGAATGGGGTGAGGGAAAGGAGCCACAGGTCAGACTCAAACCTGGGCTGCCCGCTCAGAGGACTACAGCCTCCGTGCATGGGGCACGTGCGCTAACTAATCTTTGTATGGTTTGAAAACAAAAGCTGCTTTCCTGAGCTAAACAAGGAGGATTGTTTAATTAGTTTTCCTCTCAGTTCTTTATTATGGAGATTTCATACATCAGTATGTGGCTGAATCCCCTCTGATGATCCTACATTCAGCTCTCATTACGGCATATAATAACAACTGTCACTTCCCTGTGTGAGTGGCATAAATACCGTGGGTACTTTTTATCTACAAAGAGCTAGGCCCTAAATTATACATCTTATCTTTGATAATTGGCCCATATTTAACCGTTGATGACAGATCATGTGTAATGAGCCCTAAATGACAACTAATCTAGGAATAAGTGACTTTGATTTGTTTTTGCAGAGGTCACTTAAAGTTCAAAACCCTCTTTTGATGGCTTTAAATACGTCTCTATCTCTGTCTGTTTCTCTCGTATTAGTCTGCCTGAGCTCCTTTGATTATTTTTTTTTTACTTAAAGCTCCTGTTAAAAGCTGGTTATGAAAGGGACTGATAATAATACTGATCTCTCTTTGTGAGCTACAAGAAAACAGAAGACCAGCACACGATTGATTATTTCTATAAAGTCATTCTGAATGCCTTTTTATCACTTTCACAGATTCACACTGAGGTTTAAGTTTGTCTGTTTAAGTTTGTCTACTGATGAGATTTTATCTTGTTATTATCCCGACTGCTATGAAAATTGGTTCATTATTTCTATAACACCTTAAACTGCTACTACTGCTGCTGCTGCGGTAGGCGAAAGAGGAAGTGATCACTGTAATTGCAAAGATTCTTGATGAATGTAAAAAAAAAAAAAAAAAAGCATGATGAGATTTTTTGATGAACAACACTTTTTAAATTTGTACAAGACAAGTTCCGCAGGACGTAAGATACACCTCTTTGGCCAAAGTGTGGAGTGTGTTGACTTAAAAAAAAAAAATCAAAATCAGGTTATTACTTTTTTGAGCATGCCAAAAGACACACTACACCTTTTGATTTACATATTTATGTTTCCATCCAAAATAGCTTTTACAACTCTCATTGTAATAATTCTCCCATTTCCCAAACTGTCACCAGCTTGTTAAGTTTGATTTGTAGTTTTTGTTAAGACTCACTGATATTATTTGTCTAAACATCCTCCTGAACATCTGTATTGTTCCCGAGAGTTACTTAATGCACGTCCAATAAAAAATCCATAAAAAGCATATTGATCTAACAAACAATAGTGTCTAGTTACTAAGTAGTTTTTATTAACAGCTATTTGTTTAGCCTAGTGTGTGCGTGTGTGTGTGTGTGTGTGTGTGTGTGTGTGTGCGTGTGTGTGCGCGCATGTGCGTGTGTCTGTGTGTGTCAGTCCTGTATTTTGTTGGTCAAACATGAAACTCTGCATGAAGAAAATCTTCTTGGGGCTGAAATCGTTCCTTATTATCTCAGCTGTCTTTGCACACAGTGTGCCAAACAAAGTCTTTCCTGAAGTGTTTGAGAATTCAGAAATAAGCAAGTCCATTGATTTGAGCTTTCATCTCAGCAGCAAAGAAATCTTCCAAAATAGGTCGATTTATTTATGTCTTTGATCTGACTTTGGAAACAATGTTTATGATTTCACAAAGCCAGGTTAAAATATAATTGACGGTGGAGATCCAGACTGTGACTCACAATGAGGCCAGAGGTAGACGCTTTTCTGAAACACTGGGGAAAAGGTGCTCCTTATCATCAAAAGCTCCAACTCACCACTTCCACCGGATATAAAAAACATTAATTATAGAGTAAGAAGTGTTCAAACTTTGTTTTCTTTCTTTTATTTTAGAATTTAAAGTTTATAGAATGAATAAAGTTTGCATCTAAGTTGACAAAAAAACGTCATTATTCACAAATATATCAGACGCTCAATCTAGTGACGGCTCTGTTTGTGTATATTGCAGCCTTATGAGACAGCTCTGTGACGCATATCTGTTGGAAAGAGACAAGATGAGATTTATTAGATGCCACTGAGGCTTAGGATGTGTTGGCATAAATCCCTATGTAAATAAAGTATATTGCAGTTATAGGAGATATACAGTAGGTAGAGGTTATAAACAGATTTGGAGGGTCAGGGTTATAAACTAAAAAAGAGGATCTAATGCACAGGTCAGGATGCTCCCACTGTCATTATATATGAATCACTCACTAACCAGACACCTTATAAGAGGCAGAGCAGGTACCCAGTGGCCACATACAAAGAACTCCTGTGAAGCAATGAGAGTGCTCAGTGTTGTATTTGTTCTGGTGTGTGTGTGCTGGGGAGCCATAGGTGTGCAGGTCAAGGTGAGTTTGAGTTCTTCTTGGTAATGTTGTTGACATTTTTAGATGATCAAGCGGGTTATTTTTGTCCTCTGCTTTTAATATGTTAATGGTTAAAAATGGTTGTGCCTACAGGAAAAGTTGTCTGACAGCAACAGGGATTGCTCAGAATATTCTAAAAATTGCATAAACTTGACGTGATGACACTAGCTTGAAGTTGAAGTGTTATTGATTTCTTTCTTTCAGTGGCTCTTTTAAGTGACATTAAAAATGTTTGGCTTCAAACCCAGTCCACAGCAGAATATAGCTTAGCTTCTGTGGTGGTGTGTTGACCAACTTCTCAAAACAGGAATCTTGCTAACTGCCATCTACTGTAGGTAATACACTCACGATTCATAGTTAACATCAAACAGCCCCACTTTATAAAATCAAAAATGTCCTTTAAGTAGAAGATTGATTTTAGAGGATGTGTTCCTCATTCTGTGAAATGACACGTGCTTATCAAAGCCAATTTCTCAGTCCAGTCATGTTCTTCCTTTCATGAAAAGCTTCATCTTAAGTGGCTATCCAGTCTTCTCAAGATTGTGAATACATTGAGCTAATTTCAACAATTGCACATACTTCTAATTTCCATTAGACCAACACAAAGGGCTCTCTTTCTAAATTCAAAGCATCCATACTAAAGCGATTTGAATTATGTCACATTTTGTTCCTCAAAGCACTTCTTGTTCTTTCCCCACCAGGCTGGGGACAGAGTCTTTCCTTTGGAATCAGTGAAGCAGCTGAAGGAGCTGATGGATTTGGATGACGAAAACATCAGCCTGAACCTCCCTGAGACGAGCATTGAAGCCGCTTGCGTCAACCCACTTCTGCCACGAATCTTCCGGCCAGTGTGTCGAGGAAGGAGAACAGGGATTGTTTTCTCTAAGCTGGGTAAGACTGGATAAAGAAAGAAGAAACAAACAAATAGATACATGCTTGTAACAGACGAAGAATGTATGACTGATTAGATTTAATTTCCGGCCAATTTTCAAGTGTTCCTCTCAAGTCTTCTTCAAATGTGTTTCCTGATCTGTATACAAACACAATTCATCTCTAAACAGCGCACCACAGAGGGTATTGCATGAAAAGAAGTCATGCCGGTGAGATATTTGCTATCTGCTACATCACGACGAGTAATACATCCAAAGTAATCTTTAGAATCTAGATTGAAAAACAAAAAGGGAAAGGTTATGTCTTTATATCTTGAAGGAAGACATGGTAGATTAAAGGATACGCTTGTGTTATTGCAAAGAGATTCGGTTAGCATGACAACCATCCTTCATGTATTCCTGTCTTCAAAACCACATTATTTTATTGTACTACAGTACTGACTGCAGCTTCCCTTATCAAGGTTTTTATGCGGAATGCAGAGAATTGGGCCATAATACTTAGTCCGTCAGTACAGCTTGAACTGTGTGAATCATAACTGCAGCACTAAACCATCAATTGGGCTTTTGGGTACCAATAATGCAATAAATCTTCACAAAGCAATAAAACAAACTGTTTTATTATTCAGAAAGGATAACTATTTTTATTTTCTTACAAAGGAAGGGAGATGTAGTTTTTCATAAATTACTCAACTAGGATTTACTGTAAATAGGCATATTTTTCAGCCATTGATTCATTACAATCTGTGCAAGACTGAATATTTTGTTGAGGTGTTATTATTAAAACCCTAATTGTTTCAATGCAATTCCAAAGTGTTATGTTTACATTTCTTTATGTGCATTGTATTACAGTTATTAATAGACAGAAAAAATAACAAACATTGTAAGTATGTAAACAGAATTATGTAAATAAACCTGTTATATAAACTGTATATGCCATAATGATCCATCAGTTTCTTGAGTGAAGAATTAATAAATAAATAAATATACAAAAGGTTAAAATTAATTGAAAATCAACCAAATCTTGTATGAAATTAGACCTTTAGTGTGCATTTATGACAGCAAGTCAGCGTCAGTGCGATTGATCTAAATGAGTGCTCAGTCAATTTATGATCACGTTAATGAGTTCATTGATGTGTCATATAATAGGGTTAGGGTTATAATGACCTATATCAGGGTTTAAAGAAGCCAAAAAGATCTGCACACCTAGGAGCTACCATTTATTAACTGACAGAGGAAGAGCATGTTGGCTGAAAGGTCACTAAATCCTTTAACGGGATCTTCTTAGTGTACAACAACATCGATTACATTATATTTTTGGTTTTGGTATATTAAAGAGGAAATATAATCCCCCTTTTCCACCTTTTCAAACAGTCCCCTGTGGTCTAAATGAAACATCTGTGCTGTGCTTTGGTCAAAGTATAACCTGAATCAAGCAGCAGAGGAGGTTTGTGACCCTGTATAAACCAGCTCTCTCAGAACGCTCCGTTTTGGTGTGTGTGTCTCTTTAAATGCAATGATGTGTCCCCTTTAATGGATTTATTAATTTTGTTAATAATATTAAAATATTGAATATCCCTTTAAATGTTCTTGATGCTCCTGCAACAAGTGAAGCAACTAGTTAGCTAGCTTCATTTGGACTGGAAACAGCGCAAAACCGTTGCCTGGTTTTGAGCAGAAGTGACAAACTCTGCAGACCCGCCCATATAAATATTAATTATCTTACTGATTATCTTATTAGTTAGACTCGTGAAAAAAAAACAATATGGTCGTCTGGATTGGATAAAGATTCTCTAACTTCTAGGAAAGTAAGCAGAAGGAATCCTCCAAATTTTAAATTGAATGATATTCTTTTCTGTTTGTATTCCCAATTTACAATCACACACATGCTCTTAGAAAAACTGTTTAATCAGCACTTTTATTACTCAGATACACACTCTCTCAGACCTGACAACAGGCTTCAGTTTGTTCACTCAAAAGGATAACCCCTCACTGTTTAAACATCTTATTATCCACATCCTGCTACTGCTGCTCCATAAAGTGGCTCTGAAATGATAATACCAGACAAGAACTGAACAAACAGTCTTTAGGGACTATTACAGCTCATTAGGCGCAGACTGCACCCTGGTTGCAGGCGGATATGGACACAGATCAAATTATCAGTATTTGCAGTATTTGATTAAACTGAAAAATCAGGGTGGCACAAACACATATGTATAGGTCAGATGAATATTCCTGTTTAATTTTCATTTTTCTTGCACTCCACAGTGAAAATCATTACACCTTTGGATCCTTGTGAAATATGCGCCAACGCTGCCTGTTACGGGTGTTTGTACTGAGGCTGCCATCTGCCAAATACACACACATCCAGCGACCCAGCAACCACGAGGGTCAAGGTTCAGAGGTCAACTGATGCCTAAAAAATACTGGGTTAAAAGTTTTGGTACACACTTATCATACCTTTATCAGAAAAATGTCAAAATAGACATACTGCATTGTTTGAATAAAATATCCGTCTCTCCAATGAATTTCAGTTTGAACTTTTTTCACTCATGTATTAATTGAAATTAAGCTTCTCAGTAAATAACATTTTCAATTTCTTTGGGTCATTGAAAGCAATTTTTTCTAGGGTTTAAAAAGCAATCCACTTTTTTCACTGTGACCCACTTTAGACCTTTGTTTTCGTCTGGCAGTCACAGCCAACTAGAGCAGCTAATTTATGGAATGGCAAACAGAAAGGTGCAAAAAGGCACCAAATGGCAAGGCATCACCAGCCTGCTTTCATGTCCCTGTGCTTCAGAGCAATTATAGTCAACAAGGATGAAAGAAAATCCTCTTTGTAATCATTTAAGGCTGTGTTGCTGTTTGTATTGTGTTTGTGTGTGCCCTCTGATCAATATAACTTTCAATAATGGGATTTTGAAGAGTCTTGACCTATCAAGTGAGTCACAGAAATCCATTGTTTTCAACCCTTGATGTTGTTTTCACTTCAACGTGTGCATTAGAATAATTAAAAATAAGATCACTTTAGTTCCCCCCATGTCACAAAAACATGAAAAACATTTTTCATTTGGTTCATCCAATCTTTACAACAAAAAAAAACATGGATTAAAGGATTGTTAAAATGATTTGTGCTGAAATAAAAACCATTTACACCCGTATGACTTCTAAATTTCTTTCTAATATTACCTGGGTTCAAATATTTTACATAGACAAGGCAGCCAAATACAATTAGGAGGAAATCAGAGCATGATATAATGCAATAATGAATCAGTTCTATAAAATTATCATTTTAAATCAGAAACCAGTAGTGGGATTTTACTGAGAAATAAGGTCAAAGGTCATTTGTATTGTCCCCTCAGGGAAATTGGTTTGCAGCTGGAAACCATAAACTGTACGCTGGAAACATATAAACCACCAATAGACAATCCACAAATATTTTCTACATAAATTCAAAAGGGCACCGCAAAGATCACCCAGTTAAAAGTGCAGTAGAGTATTACTCAGGCATTTGAAGTATAGGTCTATGGTTATGATGTACCTGAGCCTCTATTTGTCTGTTGATTTTTGTATGTTTGGACTATTGGTCAGACATAAGTATTGTAAGCCTTTAACTTTCGTTATGTACAGATGTGACTCACTATTTTCAGAAGTTTTACAAACAATTAATTAATTGATAGAAAGAACTTGGAGAATATTGACCTATGATTGAATAACTTGTGTTTTTTTACGATATGATATGCGATAAAAGCCTAGCCTATATGATATCATTTCATAGACTGTAAATATAATTTGTCCTTCACAAGAACTTTTTTGGGGGGGAATTGAATTGCCACTTTCACTTATCATACACTTCAATAGGCAATATTATTATTTATACAGCCTATAAGAATACGAATTCAAGTTGTTTTAATTATATAATTATAATTATAATAATAAGAGAATGAGAGTAAGAACCAGAACATACCTCCTTCACCAGAATAAGAGGTTCGGGTAGCAAAGCCTGTCCATCCCACTTTAAACGAAAACGGAAGTAACTTGAAGTGAGACGTCTTGCCTTTTTTAGGATCCTCTGTTTTTTGTTTCTTCTCCACGGCAGTGAATGTCGACCTCGTGCGGTTATTCAGTGACGTTACAACGGTGTGTTGAATTTAAAATAACGGACATTTCCTACCTGACAGGTAGACTACCGAATTTAATTCAACGCATGTCCATTCAAAGGACAAATTAAATAGATTCAAGCCTATTTGTTGGCCCAGGTTCAGTTTTTCTGCTGTTCAGGTGAAAAGGAAAAAATGTCTCGGTTATTTACCTTTGACAAGGATACCTTTAAAAATCAACCCAGGTAAGAAGCAAAGACTGTAAGGTAAGAATTAAAAAAATCTACCGGAAGTTGTGTGAGCTAGTTACCAACTTCAGGATCCAAAACCAAGTTGGGCCGAATTAGAGATGGCTATAGGTTTAGCTTTTCCAGTTGACAGGAAATATGAAGAAATGTTTGTTGGACTGACTGAATAAAAAACACTCAGTCAACTATAAACAGACGACGTTTGTGTTTAGAGTTTGGTAAACTTTTACGCAACTTTCAAAATGTCAAGAGTTTTGTCATAAAATCATTTAAAATGTGTCACGTGGCTCGTTGGTCTAGGGGTATGATTCTCGCTTAGGGTGCGAGAGGTCCCGGGTTCAAATCCCGGACGAGCCCACCCTTTTGTTTTTTGTTTTTTTTTTATAAATGAAAGGGTCTCAAGTACGAGGGTTTCGTGTAGGATGGCCGTAACATAGAGTGAAAACTAGTTCCTCTCAAACAAGTAATCACAGAATAATTAGAATGCTAAAACTTGAGCTGTAAGACAGCATTTTTTTTGTATTTTTTGTATTTGTATGTATATTGCCCCCAGATCTTCACAGAAGCTGTTCACAAACAAGTTACAAATTAAAGCTTCCCATAAACGAATAATAATCATGAAAATGTAATGATCTACAAGAGATACTGCTGTACCTAAATCAAATGTATTAATTCCTCTCAAAACCCACTAGATGGCACAATTCACCAAACTTTTTTTTACTACAGTCTGCAGACTCCCAGTGCATGTTCATGGCATATGGATATTATTTACATATATTTATTATTTTAAGGTTTTTTTGGGCCTTTTTGCTTTAATTGGATAGACAAGCTGAAGACAGGAAATGCTGGGAGTAGAGAGTGGGGGATGACATGCAGCAAAGTGCCAAGGTCGGATCCAAGCCTACGACCACTGCGCACAGGACCCCCGCCTCCGCACATGGGGCGCGTGTCATAATCGCTAGGCCATCAGTGCCACCAACATTGATGAGATGATCGAGTGTTGTCTATATTCTCCAAAAATGGAAGCAATTTCTTGGTACAATATAATCAGTGTTAAAAAAATGGACAGCAGCACATAATTCCCCCGGCAAAAACCACATAAAATAAATAAAAAGTTAGGTTGAAAATTTTTATTTGAAGTATTGCATTTTTGTTTGTTCCTGTACCATATCCTGACAGCATCCTGGCTCTTTTTTTGTATTTGAAAAAACCTCGCAGACAAAAGGTGCCCAACATTACCGCTTGTCGTCCTTGTGGAGTTCATGAAAACCTTTGACTTCCAATCCCAGGGAGTCATGGGAAATAGTGAGATTTCCTGGAGATTTCCTGGCGCACATTTCTTAAGTTGCTTCATTTCGTTTTCTTTAGAGGAGGCTTGCGGTTTTATTACCACAGTTTGTTTTATAGGGAGGAAAACCCTTTTAGCAAACCTCCTATATCGATGCGGTTCAGAGAGAGGCTTTTGGAGCTTACCCCAGTACACATATACAATAGAGAGAAGCATGCTGCCAGTCCATGTCAGGGCCAAGAGATATAGACAGAAAAGGACAATTACATTTGGTTTCCTTTTCATCTGATATAAATGCTTTGTAGTGTGGAGGAATGTGCAGAGACCATGCTGAGTCAGCTCAAATGCAGACTTTATGTTATGGTGCAATCAGGGAAACAAATTGTAAACATCTGTGTGTGATTAAGAAGTCACTGATAACCCTCCCTGATCCCCCTAATTTCTCTGAAGGACTCAAATCTATGTACTTGATATGAATTACTGTCTTTTCCCGGACTTTAGTCATAAACGGATAGAAAACGTTTCTTACAGCATTACAACCTGAAAGTCAATCTTGATGTCAACATGTTGCTGTTTGTTTCATACGATGAGTCAATCTCTTACACTTTGCCAAAACTCTCCGCTTCAGGCGATTTGTGGATGTTTCAAAAGGTAACGTACCATAGGAATGTACCACAAGGTGTGTCCATTTCATGATTTGACAAATCCCACTCAGTTTTCTTTCCCAGCAAGCAAACTTTCTCTTGCACCTCTGACCTCTCACAGGGCAAATTTGAAGTCTACAATGATAAAGCTTGCAGATAAACCTTTGTAGTTTTATACTAAAAGTATTTGGTGAAAGACAGAATTAGAAAAACAATTCATAAAAAACTTTTCATTAATCTATACATTTTTAGGTTTTTAAACATGTGGGGGGGAAACATCTTCATTAGCATTTTGAGAACCCAAAATGATGTGTTCAAACACCTTCTTTTTTTTTTTTGAACAAGTGGAACCTTTAAATGTTTTGCATGTTGCTTTGGAAATTACTGTACTTAACAATTGATTGGTTATCAATGCCATGTTTTCAGCTGTGTCAGCAACTGTTGTTTTTTATTAGTAGTGTGCAGCAGTAGGAAGCCGTTCTTCCCTACCAGGTGGAGTTCTTTAAATGTGTGATGTAGTGATTACCTGTTCAAATCAACAGACAGACTTTCCTTTTTACCTTTCATTCCAATTAACACGTCTTGCAATACGCTAGCCAAAGCCGTGATTTGGAAATCCAAAAATAAAATCCTGGCCAGTTTAGTTAAGTTTTCGTAGTTATGATTGGAAATCTCATTTTGTAGGAGGGCTCTGAATCACTGTTTTAGTTCAGAGCATTGTGTTTCTTGATGGAACCCCTCAGAATTGCAGATCGTCTTTCACCTCGGGTGTGATACTGACTAATCAATGGTGTAAAGACCTGGTTGTCTGTCCTCCCTGCCTCTTTCTTGACAGTCATTTTTATCTGGGCAAATCCTTACTCATTGTGTGCATGAATAAATTAGCTAGACAGGCTTATTCTTAATTAGATTGTATAATGGATGATGGGGGGGGGGCAATGGGATGACCAAGGTGTATGTAAAAAGGCACCATCTGGGCCTGGAATATAAATACAATTTTAAGCATCTAAAGATTTATTTCCCTGCATTCTGATCAATGTGTATGCACCATTTTTTGCTTTTTCTGTGCAACTTTTATGATTGAGATCTAGTCTTTTTGTCCTTTTTTGTGGGTTTTTTTTCTCAAATATCTAATAGTGTTCATCAGACACATGTTCAAACAACAATGAATGCATTCATTTAACTTTTCTAAACATGTGTAGCTATTTGTCAGGAGGCTTAAAACCCGCTTGGCACTTGGTGTGTGTTAATTTCTGACTATTAAGTTTAATATGATTTTCAGACAAATCTAAATTTCTCTATTTATTTTAAGATATGGTTACCAAGTGTCCCCCCTTCCAGATTTATTAAAGTTCTCATGCTCACAACTGACCAATCGATTTAAATTCAACCCCGTTAATCCAAACAATGTGTCGGGGCATCTGACATGACAAACAAAACTTCACCTTGTCAGTGGTGCAATGCCTGGGCACTTTTCGTCCTCTGTATTGCTTGGACTGCGGAGACATCCTGCCACAGGGTTTCATCCTGCCACAGGGTTTCACAACCATAACACAAGGCAGGGGAACATAAAGTTATTCACCTTTCCTGCAGAGTTCTCATGAACAGCAGAGAGATTTATTTTCCCAGAATGCAATGTGGCTGGGAAGAAATCAGATAGGACTTAAAAACACAGTTATCCAGAAAAGTGAGCAAGAAAGATCTCTTTCTGTAACTTGAGTTGAGGCAATCACTTTGACAAAGAAGTACTTAAGGCAAATGAAAGTGAGAGGTTTCACTTCTGCCTCTCTTTGATCTCTTGTTCTATATTTTATTTTTCTTATTGAGTTCTCTGTAGCCACACTAGCAGTGGGTTAGTTTGCAGCTGATGTATGGCCATGC